CAGGCCTTTGTGCTTGCCAGGGAAGCGCTTATTCCACTGAACTATCTCCCCGGCCCCTATTTTTATTTATTTATTTATTTATTTGTATTTTTAAGGAAAGGTCTATAGGGTGTTCAGGCTTTCACTACCAGATCGGACTCATAGTGATCCTCCTGTTTACAGCCTCCCACGAGCTGGGATTACAGGTGCATGCCACCATGCCGAGCCCAGTCTCAATTGCCATCTCAGTGCACCCCGGGGGCAGGGCCGGCACCGCAGGCCAGGCTGAATTTTTAATACTCATGCAGGGATGTAAAGAATTAATGCAGGGCCGGGGAGATGGCTCAGTAGGATAAGCGCTTGACGGGCAAACGCCAGGGTCTGAGTTCAATCCCCGGTTCCACCAAAAACAAAAAAACAAAAAAACAATTAATGCAAACCACTAAGAAGAATGTATGCAGTGTGTTAATTATTGAAACTGTCCTATGAAGTTGATTTGAAGTTGTCTCATTGCTATTTGTTTATCAATAAAATTATGGCAAAAAAAAAGAATTAATGCAAATCAAACCGTTTTAGTGAACAAGTTTCAGCACTTCAACTTTATAACAATTACAAATAAAAATCTGTTAATTTTTTTCTAGAAAAACAAATAAAAAACAAAAGAGGTTGAGTCACTTGCCCAAGGTCATACATTTAGTCAATGGCAGAGGAAGGGTTGAAATCCAAGTAGACTAATTTTAGGGTCCGTATTCTCAGCTGCCAAATTAAGTAAGCTATGATTTGTCTTTTTTCCCCCTTGCAGGTTTTTGGAAGTGCTGGACCACTGGACCACAAACTGAGGTCTAAGCTGTAAGTGGAAGCCACCTTATATGAGTCTCAAGTACCCAGTTGTATTGTTCAATGGCCTATTGGTGACTGGATAGTTCCCAAGCCAAAAAATGAGCAGGGTGTGTATACAGCTCAGTGGTAGAGTACTTGCCAAGCATGCACAGAGCCCTGAGTTCAATCCTCGGCACTGCCCAAAAATAAAATAAAATTTTAAAACACAAGCAAAAGTGTCTGACAGTGTTGTAAGTTAGTGAGAGAGACAGAGTCTAAAACTACTGCTCTGTTCAGTGGGTAGTTGAGTTTGCATTCAGATTCTTACATTCTGTCCTTAGTGAGCAAGTATGTCTGGAGAACTATAGGAAATTTGACTTTCCTTTCATGATTATTCCTCTTTCTGCATCCCTTCCTAAAATAAAAAGCAAGCGGCTGGTGA